AGCTAAAATAGCAGCTACTCAGGTTTGTATAGGCTGCATCCGCGATGTTTTGTGGCAAATTTTAAACAGCATGTCGCATATGGCAGGTGGTGACGCTGGCCAAACATGACCATTGCACTCAATGTGACTGCGCCGCAACCACGTTGGGTATGTGTTTGCAGTGTGGTATTGCAATTGAAATTCCTATTGAAATAAAAAAATAAAATAACGGCATCCAGGAGGCGGCTGAGCAGCTGGTGCTCTATCGCGGTGAAGTCTTCGGCCTGTCTGAATGAGGCCTTAACCGGAACTTCACTAAATGGTGGAAAGTAATACCTCCTGGAATTCTGCCGTCACAAATGCCAGGCAGAAGACTGCGCGGCAATCGTGCATGAAATCCGAGCGCTCACGGAATTGCCCACTACTGCCGATTGCGCTGGCGGTGCCATTATTTTCTAATGGCACCCCAGTCATGCTGGGCAGATCGCACGGTCTCCCGAAGTGATACCCCCTGTGCTAAAAAAGCTGCACGTCGTGTGTCCCAAAAAAAGGTACATGCACCTTTTTTGGCGATTGCCACACAGTAACCCCATTGAGCTGCGAAGCAACCGCTGTGTGCACCCGCACACAATCGCGCGTCCCGGGATCGGCGATGTGTGAACCTAACCTTATACGTAAACAGACACAGCACCAGATCTCTGCACATGTGTGGGAAGAAATGCCTTCGGAATATGTGATGGCGGTATCCCAAGAGACTTCAGGAGAAGACTGAAATGTAATTCTTGCCTAGGCAAAAATGGAGGCAGGGGGCGGATACAGCAGAAAATAAGGTAATAAAAAAAAACCTGTCCCTGCCAATTTAAGGGCCCATTCCCACCAGCAGCCGTAATACAACGCATGGCTGCTGGTGTGTGTGCCCAGCACAGTGCCAAAGCACTTCATCGCAACGCATTGCACTGTTTACTTTTTTGTTACAACACAAGTAGCATTTCATTAAGTTCTATGGGCACAGCACAATGCCATGCGGTTGTACCATGTCGCACTGTGCTGAGATGGAAAAAAAAAAGTACTGCATGCTGAAATTTTTTTCAACACACACTACCACAACGCAGTGGTGTAAACTGAGCCCATCTGGGAGAAGGCAAATTGCCTCATCTTGCATTGCGGCTGAGGTGGATAATACATCCAACGCAGCCCCAACACATCGGGTGTGAAGGGCCCTAATGCATATATGCAGCAGCATGGTGGGTAGGTCTTAGTGCACAGCTGCCTCATATATGTGCCAACCAGCTGCGCTGTTCTATGCTGAGTGTGTTCACTGGCATGCTTCAAGCATAGTGATTAAGCAGTCAGTGGCAGCTCCCGGTCACTGTTTACAATCGGGGGCTGGCGCAATGGGCTCCCGATCATGTGACTGCTGTAACAGTCAATCACAGTGATCACATGATCACGAAGGCTATCCCTAACTCCCATCATTAAGAACCCCTTAAATGGCTTCCAGAAGTTGGAGGCAAGGGTTTAAAGAGAGGTCAGCATTTGAAAAAGTGGAGGATAAGAATGTTGGAAAGTTTTATTTTTAAGTAAAGTTTCGCTTTTTAAGTTTCCGCCCCCCTCTATGTACTTTGTTTTCCCTCCTGATTGTCCTGAGTACAAATTATCCTGGAGAACTGGATCTGGAATCTTAGTAAAGTATTAGCGTGTGTAGTAAGACGGTAATAACAAAACCACTTCCATATGCCACAAGAAATCATTTCATGCATCATGGAGCTCCACTGAGGTCATTGGATAAATATTATTCTTCCAGGACACACACACTTATAGTGATACTAAAGTTTCCACCTAGGATGTCACCTCTACATAAATCTGCCTTTCTTCTTCTTTAAAAAATCTTTTGTTCCTCGTTTTCTAGTGGGTCCCCGCAGCGTTCATGTCCCCGCCCCCTGCACGGGTGCTGCCATCAGCTAAGCAGCTGCTGTGGAGGCACCCATGTGTCCTCGTTCCCTGCCGTCGTTGTGTGCGTCCATAGACACACACAGCCCTGCAGCAGGACCAGCGGCGGTGACAGGTAAGTCTGTGTGGGGAGAGAAAAGGGTACTGGGCAGATTTTAAGACATCAGGACTAGCGCAGTGACAGGTAAGTGTGTGTGGGGGCAGAAAAAGGTACTGGGAGGATTTTAAGACAGAATGCATTAAAAGAGAACTATGGGGTAAATGTTTTTCCTCATAGTTCTCTTTAAGGGTCACGGGAGGACATATACTAGCTAGGGCTGCAACAACTAATCGACATAATCGATTATTGAAAAAGTTGTCAACTTTTTCAATAATCGATTAATCGGCTTAGGTAACTGACAGTCACGGCTCTCTGCAGGGAGACGATCGGGAAGTGAGCGGATCAGTGCATGTTTCTGCTCACTTCCCGATCAATAGAGCCGACGTTTGATAGTTTCATTGTCACACGTCGGCTCGAACTATGGGGGTGAGTGATTTTCACTCACCTCATTGTTTTCCTCTAAGGTAAAAAAAACATCCAGACTACTTTAAGGCCTGGTTCCCGCTGAGCATTTTGCAAAGCTTTTTCTGCCCTAAAAAACATGCCCCCCCAAAAATCCCATTCATTTCTATGGCCCTGTTCACATCTGAGCGTTTTATCGCAATAAGCAAAACGCCCGCCGCTGGAAAAAGTACATGAGCTTTTTGGGGGGGCATATTACAGCTCGTTTTGGCCCCATAGACTCAATAGGGAACGCTTGAAAACGCACGGTTGCTGTATTTTTGGACGTTTTCACACGCATTTGCTCACTAACATTAATAAGCTACAATCTGCTCACAAAAACCACGCAATTTGATTTATGCGCATAAAACGTGCATCAAAACGGCCAAAAAACACAAAAATGTGCATCAAAAATGCACATAAAAATACGCACAAATGCTGTCGCCTAGGTGTGAACCAGCCTTAGGCTAGGTGCACACCTTGGCTTTCGCAGTTTCGCACAATTGTTTTGTGTTTTTGCTTTTAAAAAGCGTTAGAGAATCACCTGCACACCATACAGCGCTTGAACCAAACAAAATATCCATTGGTGCTCGAAATGAGGACACGGATGGCGCTGCATAACAATCCAAGTAAACATAGTAGTCACCAGCACTCACTTGTAATGTGCAAAAAGGATAGCGCTGTCGCCCTGATGAAGAGACCCCGTGCGGCCCCGAAACGTTGGCTTCTTGACGCATGTGACATATCGTTAAAAGTGCTATCCTTTTTGCACATTACCAGTGAGTGCAGGTGACTACTATCTTTACTTTGCTTTTAAAAACATGCGTTTCTTCCTGCATTGAGATGTCTATGGGACCAAAACCACGTGCCATCTGCCTGAAAATAGCTCCTGCATCTTTTTGCGCAAAATACGTTTTTTTACTCACGAAGCAACGCTAAGGTGTGAATGGTCGCCATTGACTTGCATGGAGATGCGTGTTTGGCGCGTTCTCCAAACAGGTGTGAACCAGGCGCGAGCGGTTTCAGGCGATTTTAAAGCGTTTTTCTGTTTTAGCTAATGAAAAGCTAGTTACTAAGAGAAGACGGTTGTTAGGCACAAAATTGCGTGAAAACTGCACGTTTTCTAGGTGCTCCCATTGAAGTCTATGGGGTCAAAATGAAGCTTGTCTACTTTTTTGGGCAACAGGTGGCATAACAATCAATGGGCACCACTGAAAATAATGAAATTCCTCACGTCTAGCATCATTGCCCTTCAGGAAACAGGTGACAAAAGGCTCAGGTGTGAATGCTGTGGGACAATTGTAACATGTCCTACACACAGGAGGAAACATATAGACAAAAGTCTTTATTGATTAGTGTAGGGATTGGTGCAGTGTGGTTGCACAGCACAGGTGACATGAACATGTCAGGGATATACACTAATACACAAGTCAGGTCAGCCTGCACTCCATGGCTCGCCCTCAGACACAGATCAGTCTGAGATCCGTTAGTCATGTCTGTTGCTGGCCAGATAAGTGGGCTGCCCTGCACAGGGCGAGGTCGTGTTACTGGGTGGGTGAGCGTGTCTAAAGAGTGGAAAGGGGGCGTGCCAGCGGTGGGCGTGACATGCAATAGGGAGGCGTGCCTCCCGTAACAAAGAGCCCGACAAGCTTCTTATGCAATTTACTATCATGTCATGTCGGTGTTTTTCCTGTGTTGTACCCCCAGTGACCCCTCCGTGCAGGTAACACTGCCGCTCTAGTGTCCGTTCCGCCGTATACACGAAGACCGGCCGGCACAAACAAACACAGCTTATGACTTCCCAAAGGTCAAATGAGGTGGGCTCCCACTGTGACTCTGTGACTGTGGGACCCTGTGACTGCGGGACGCTCCTCCCCTAGCGTTTCATCAACGAATTATTGCAGCAATTTCGCTGCCGCTCACAAATAGCGCCATCGGGGCAGCGGCCACACGTGCGGATCGCCTGTGACACCTCATCATACAAAGATCCAGCATGGCATACACGGATCCACCACTGCAATACATAGATCCAGCATGGAACACACAGATCCGGTATAAAATAAAGAGATCCAGTATACATATATGAGCTCCAGTGTGAAATATATGAGCTCCAGCACCATACATAGAGCGCTGTGGTCTCACACACCCACCCATTATCCACCATGCACACCCCATGTTACACAAGCACCCTGCCCTGGAAAAACTGACACACATCGACAGTCCTTCATCCACCCTTCGCTCCGAGGAGCCTGCAGTGCCTCGGCATGCACACAGTGCCCGCGTGGTTTCACGATCAGTGCAGCAATGATCACACTTGCCTGGCAGAGGAGTGGGTGTGATCAGCCATAGGCATGCACTGGGCGATTCATTCTTTGTCTGCCCGGTAAAGTCCTCTGAGGACAGTGAACATGCAATGACCCCGGTGCCAGTATGGCTGCAGCTGCTGGCACCGGACCGGTAAATGGCAGTGGCTCGGTTATGACAGCAGCCCAGTAAATGACAGTGGCCCCGGTAATTGCACAACACTGACCTGTGTGTGTCCTCAGATGAGCTTTCAGATGGGACGATTTGCCATAGACTTTCTCACAGCCCGGGTAGGGGCACTTGTGCCTTTTGAGGGGTGATTCGGGGTCAGCTCTGCTTTTCCCACGCCTGGCTCTTTGTCTTGGCTCGGTCTGGAGGGGAGGTGTGTCCGCCCTGTCTTCGCTTCCATCCCCGGCCGGGTTCTCCTCGGCAGGGACCCCGGGGACTTGTTGGTTGAGATCGGCCAGGATCCTGGCCACCACGATTAGGGAGGCGTTCTCCTTCCCAGCCTTGTCTTCTGCCAGCAATGGAGGGCCAGCCGCTGCTCCCTCCAGCACGGCCGCCGTGTCACTTTTGTGCCCCCCATGATCAGCACTATGGACAATAGCACGGCTGGACATCGATACAAGGCACTCTGCTGCGAAATGATCCACGAAAGCCACCGCTGACATTTTCCAAAAAAAAATTAAAATGTTTTTTGTTTCCTTTTTTTTTTTTAATTGCACAATATTCCCTTCTTCTGCATCCAGGTCACCGGATCGGCGGTAATATGTTCTCCTTTCGTTCCGATCGTTAACTGACACCAGATTGCACTTGGTCCGTAAAGATCACGCCCAACTTGCATAGAAAAATAAATCCATCTGAGTGAAAGGGAGAGAAGACGGCTCCTGACATTGACAGCTGCTGACAGATCCTCTCCAGGAAGGAACAAGTGTTGGGATTATGTTTTTTTTTATTATTATGATCAGTCTAGTTGTCGGTGCTACATGTTGTGTTGCAGTGTGGCAGCACAGAGGTTGCCTGCTCTCCCTGTCTATTGCACTATGTGAATGTGTCTCAGTCCCACGTGGGGGTGTGGTCTTCACAAACATCTGTGAGTGACGTCACCGACAAGCCACATCCTGGCCCCAGCACAAGTCATCCCTGGCTCCGATCTGCGGAGAAGCCGGAGCCTGCCAACCACCAAGCCTGAGCACCGATTGGGGGGCTCGCTGCGACCAGCAGCCAATCGACGGCGTGTTTGTGCTGAGCCCATTGGCCCTTTTGCATTCCTGCAACTTGGGAACTGCAGGCAACACGAGAAGGGAATAACACCACCATCATTTATTCATCATGGTACAATGAGGAGGCACTGCTCGGATTTGATGGAACAATTCATGCCCGCCAAGAAGATTTGACACTCTTCATGTCTCTGTGACATGGGACTGCAGAAGATCTAAGGGGGAGGCTGTGCTGGTCATGGCTTAATATGATTATATGATCATCCCATTTGCAGCTTGCCTTGTGGTCTGGGCAGCAGTGGGGATCATTGGGGATAACGCAGGGGGAGATAGCAGATGCTGCTTTGCCAAGCACTTTGCATGGCTTTGTTCTTCCTTATCTCCCGCAGATGCTGAGTTTTTACACACAGGATAAACACTGCGATCAATGCAACATACAAGCCTATGAATCTGGATTGGAACAAGGAGCACCATGATGTTATCAAAATAGCAACTCTGCTTGTTGTGAACATTTTGTACAAGTGTTATAAAAGTTTACAAGCAGCCATATGATAAAGCCAGCTCACATTGATGAGGACACTCAGGAGGATATAGACTGGGTCAGGTTTATTGTCGATGATCATATGTAAGGGAATGGTTAGACACTAATCTCCAGAGTTCTGCATTCAAGTACATCAGCTGAGTGATACACAAATAAGATGTTTTGTTACTAGTCAGGGTACTTGAATGCAAGATTTTTCACTCCTGAGTTTAGTGTCTCTTTAATGTGAACCTCTGTTTTGTCCATGCAGGGTAAAGCAACAGGTTCATTTATATCCCAAGTAGCATTCACCCTTTCGTTGCCACATACGTATGTCCTACATCGTTGGCAGTGGGCCCCTTTATAGCTGCCAGGACTCTGTTTAAATGTATAAAGCTGACTGTTGGCTTTACACTGGAAGCGATTCTGGGGGCTGAGCTTCCGCCAGATCACTTTCAGGCACCTCACCTGACACCCCCACCTTGCTTCCCGGGCTCCACTGCCCCTCCTGCAGGCCTGGGACCAGCATCATTGGTGTCATCAAAAAGCGGGGAAAGAGACTGGCGTAAATTTGTTCGCCAATCTCCTCCCTACTGAATGGGTTTGGCAGCGATGCTGATAGCATAACTTCCGGTCCGTCAGTTGTCATTTCCCAACTGCAGTAACCGAGGAAGAAGATATCAGAGCGCAAGCTGCATTCCAATAGCTTATTTAGAGTGGAAAGGTAACACTAGGGTCTAATAGACTCCTAATGTCACCTTAAAGAGAACCTATTACCACTAGTATGCTATCACATAGGTAACTTGTATGCCCCCCAATGTGATACAATTAAATAAAAATTGTAGTAAAAAATCTCCCCCTCCCACAAGCGCACACATGTAAACATTAATCATGTTTCTCCCACCTTGACTGCCTTTAGGTGTTCCCTCAAGACTCATCTCTTCAGGGAAGCCTATCCCACTTCAACCCAACCACTGAACCATCACGTTCTCAAACAATCATCCCTGCGCAGCTACCTCCTCATGTATCACTTCTCCCTCCCTTTTAGATTGTAAGCCCTTGGGGGCAGGGCCCTCCTTATCACCTTGTCTTGAACTGTATTGTGATTTTAATGTCTTCCTTATATTGTAAAGCGCTGCGCAAACTGTTGGCGCTATATAAATCCTATGTAATAATAATGTTTCGGGTGCACCTGTGTACAAAAATGACAATCGTGCTAAACATGTTAGGTATCGCCGCAGCCACCCAAAGGGGGATGAAACAAAATGCTAATACAAGCATCCTAATGGTGCCCACACACCTTGTGATAATCGTACGATAATCGCGGGAAATCCCGCGATCATACGATTATCACAGGGTGTGTGGAAGACATGCGACCTCTGCTACTGTAAGGTCGCACAACTTTTATCTTAGGAACATGTTTTCGAAAACCAGCCGAACATCGTACGATTTTCGGCTGGTTTGTGGCATGTTCGCAAGATAAAAGCCGCACGGGCCGGTGTGCGCAAGCGCACACTGCCCATTTAGCATTGCGGTCATCGGAAGCCCGCCCCTCAGTGGGGCGGGCTTGCGATCATCGCAAGTACGATCTGCCTGTCCAAGATGGGCAGATTGTACCTTTTTTTGATTACCTTGCAACCATCGCAAGACAAAAGTCTTGCGATGGTTGTAAGGTGTGTGCCCAGCATTATACACATAACTACAGCACCCTAGTAGGCAGAGCCAATAAAATGTAAGCAACAACAGCGTAATAAACCCCACATCTCTGGTTTGCAAGTGCCTACATTTTATTCTACAGGGTCTCTGCTTTCATAAAATATATAATGTTTCGGGGTTTTAAGTCATTTTCAGGCCTAAAACGTGGTTTATAACATGTCTGCAGAAAAACACGTTGGCAGCGAAAGAGTTAAATGCTCAATCTTTTTTCAATAATGAATCCAGATCTAACAAATATACATTGCCCAGCAAAGTATTTCTTTAAATATTTGCAATCATTACGTTTCCGAACAATTGGCTCCAGTTCTCTCACTTCAGCTTCCCCAAACTTCCCAGTATAAGATCACAAAGGACAGACCAGACTCCAGCAGCTGTCCATCTACTAGCTTGGAGAAGGAAGAAGAAAGGGGGAAGAGGGGTGTCACTTGACTTGTTTTGCCTGTGTGTTTGTGGAGTCACACACAGCTTACTAGCACACACAAGGGTGGCTCCATAGGACCCTGCAAGGAAAAGGAGCCACCCTAAAATAGGATATCAGGACCAATGCTCAGGGGACCAGCTGATTTTGCAAGAAACTAAAACGTTTGTATGTGATTTAATCAGCATTTGAAATAGCTTAAAAACATTTTGGCTTTGCTATTACTTTAAAAAGTGCCCCTTCACGGCAAGGGTTAAAGGAGAACTATGAGGTGAGTGCTTTTCACTCACCTCATAGTTCTAGCCGACCTGTGACAATGAGACTGTCACAGGTCGGCTCAGTAGATCGGGAGGTGAGCGAACACATACCGGGTTCGCTCACCTCTCAATCCTGTCACCACTCTCTGCCGTGACAGGGGGAGGGGCTGGATTCCCCGCTCCAATCCGCCAGCGCTGACTGGCAGATCGGACGGGGGAGGGGGCGGGTACAGCTGGCTCTGCCTCTGGATCGGCAGAGCCAGCTGTCAGTCACGCAGCTGGGCGGATCCCGGCACAATTGTCGGGATCCGCTTCAGCTGCGGCGTCTCAGTATACCGCGAGCTACGGCTCGCAGTATACTGAGCCTAGGGTGACGGGAGGACTCTAGTTTGTGTCCTCCCGTTACCCTAGGGAGAACTATGGTGAAAAGACTTAACCCCATAGTTCTCCTTTAACTGCTTGTTCCTTGGGGACAGGAAGATTATTTTACTTACCTAATCTCCGCTCACCCAGCAGTTGGCGCTCTCCTCTTCTCCCCTTTTGCTCTGGCGGTGGACCGTTCCTCGGCATTCTCTCGTACAGTGCAGGTTTATGGAGCCTGCATAGTACTTGAAGACATCAATGGTCCTTGGACCACTGCAGTGAAGGGGAAGAGAGGCTGTGGGGACCAGTACGGGGGGAACGAATAATGTAATTAAATAGTAACCAAAGGGAAGTATCACTACTCAATTAGAGCCACTTATTGGCCAGGCCCAAGGCAGGTCCTTAGCGGAGTCCACTTGGCCACCACAGTGATCATATGTCATGGCACTGTAGGGATGTGGAGTCCTATTTTCAAGGGGTACATTTCTCAGAGCAGCAGACTGCTAAAATTACCTTGTTCATTTTTAGGAACTGTATGTAGGTTACTCTATAGGAAAACCGCATTACTCCAACAGAACCGGGAAGGATCCTGAAAGTATTGTCGGGGTCCACCCTGGGTGCCTAACTAACAGATGGCTCTGCCTGTCTAGTGCCAGAGCCAGTCATGCCCTCCCATTCTCTGTCCCTCCAATGTGCACTGGAAGAGCAGAATGTGGAGAGGCAATCCCTGCAGGGAACGGCGACTGATAGTCACTACTCTCTACAGAGAGAAGACGCCAGGAGCTAAGCAATCAGCGATTACATGATCTCAGTCTAAGAATTGGTGTGTGCCAGCCACAGTGTCCCACACTGGCTCCAAGCAGCGGGTACAATATATTTTACGCTCCCCACACTTCTCCTTTAAATGTACATCTGAAATAAATACTGGGGGGAATTTATCAAAACTAGAGCAGAAGAATCTGGAGCAGTTACCTAAGGCAACCAATCAGCTTCTATCTTCAGTATGTTCAGTTAAGGTTTGAAAATTAAAGGTGGATGCTGATTGGTTGCCATGCACCGCTGCTCCAGATTTTGTCTGCCCTAGTTTTGATAAATTCTCTTCTCTGTGTATTTGAATTGTTTTTACTTGCTAAAGGTTTAGTAATTCTCTTTAGTCCATCTTCTAATTAACACATCACTTTCTCACTGCAC